CATGGCACCCAGCTATGTGATGCTGAGGTTAAACCCAGAGCCTGATACACATTAGATGAGCGTCTACCAATGGAACCACCCCCAGGCCTAGAAAAAGAAGATTTTGAGCCTCACCATTTTTGTAAAATTGCTACTAACTGAAGACTTACTATGTCCCAAGTACTGCTGTCTGAATCTAAGACGTCCGAGCTCATCCTCAGCATAACTCAGTGGCATTAGTTCTCCGTCATAAAAGTGGGGCACTGGAGACCAGAAAAAAAACAGGAAAATGGTAAAGAATGCACAGTCAGAAATTGCCAGAGTTGGGATTTGAACTCACACATTCTGGCTTTGAATCTATATTATGATTTGTGAGGCCAAGGTGATCTTAGAAGTGATAACAGAGGCCAGAGGAAGGGTAAATTATTGATATGATAAACACTAGAGGGAAAGGATGAGTGAGAAGAGAAGGGATCCATATGATGTCACAGACAGCCTTGATTGGCAGATGTCTTTAGCCACATCCTCACCTATGCATAGGTAGGTAGAACCATTATTAATTATGTATGGCAGATTATATAGATATGTATGTTTGCTCTTCTACATGTTAACAAATTATAGCAACAAAGTGGACACAAGTGAACTCTTTTTAAGATACAAGGAAGGAAACACTCTAAAATTTGACCTTTTCCAATTATTCTAGTAGAAGTCCACCTCCTGAATAGCAAGGGAGGGTAAATGTCAGACAGCTAATCAAAGACAGCGGGAAAGGTTAAGGCTCAGCGAAGGCTCCCCACACTGCTGCAGACCAACGCATGGTAATAAGGAACTTAATTTATTCTGATCCAAAGTTGTTCTTGTGGCGATATGAGAGTCTATTTTCATGGACAAAAATTAGAATCAAAATGCCAGCTAGTGACGCTCAAGACTCACTTCCTGAATGTCAGCATCAAGGTTTTCCCTAGAGAAAACAGCCACAATGTTCATGTGTTTCCTAAATGGTGTGTCCATCCCCCACTTATGCACACTCCCCTACAGTTTATCAATGAACAGGGACATTCCATCCCCCACTTCTGCACATTCCCCCTATAGTTTATCAATGAACAGGGACATTCCATCCCCCACTTCTGCACATTCCCCCTATAGTTTATCAATGGACAAGAATAGCCTTGCTGCCAGGTGTGCACGAAAACCAAAAAGATCTTATACACACCCATGAGTGGTCTGAATATTTGTGTCTGCCTCCCAAACTCACACGGTGAAACTGAAATCACAAGGCAAAGGTGGCCAGGAAAGTAACTATTGTGGTCTATATGGATTATCAACTTGACAAAAACTAAAATCACCTAAGACACAATGTTGGCCACACCTATGTTGGAGTATCAAGATTGGACTGATACTCCAACAAAGGCCCACATGAAAGTGGGTGACATCATTTCATACGCTGGGATCCGAGACTAAATATGAAGCACACTGAGCTGAACGCTAACAGTCATCTCACTCTGCCTTCTGACTGTGAATCAAACAGCCTTTGGGATGTATTAGTGCAAAGGTTGGTGCCTCATGAATGGGATTAGGGATCTTTTGAAAGAGACCCTGGAGCATGGCACGGCCCCACCAATCATGTGAGGACACACTGAGTAGAGGGCACTCACAAAGCAGAAAGGGGACTCTCCCCAACACTCTACTTACCCCTCTTCCGAGTGTGAAAAAATACATCTGCTATTTACAAGTTGTTCACCTTAGTGATATTGTTAATAGAAACCGAAACAGACTAAGACACATCCCATGTAACATTATAATTCCTTATGATGTATTATTGCTAATATAAATATTGCTCCCTTTGCTCTCAAACAAAATGGCCTCCAACGTGTCATCTTCAGAAGAATTTGTCAAATAGGAATCACCATCGAGATAACCCATTATCTATAAAATTGCACAGTATTTAAAAAGAGTGATCACACTGTTGGATAACATAAACTTGTTATGCACAATCTCCATAAAATTTGATTACAAAATGAGAGACAGCCTTATAGTTCTGACCTTCATCCTGAGGATGTGTGTGGCTCTCCAAAGTTGCTTCTGCTGGGATCTGGAATGAAAATGTTTTAACTGAAGTGTGTAGTTGAGGATGATGAAACTGAAATATCTACACTGCCTGAGGAAGCCAATGCCTTTGAGAACTATGTGCAGTCCGTGGACATGGCTGTTTGGAACAAGATCCAAAGTCCATCCAAAAATCAGTGTGCTTAAAAGCTTGAAAGATTTAAAAAATGGAAAAATGATCTCTGGAAAGATCTATAGGTACAAATATGGAATGAGAAAAGCAAGCAGTAATGTGAATGATTTCACACATACATGCATATACACACATATACACATACACACACTCAAACACAAACACACACACATACACACACAATGCATTTACCTTAATAATCCAAGTTTTTTAGAGTTCCTGGTGTGTCAGCTGAACACACCACAACTGAAATTAAGGACTCAGGCTAAGTCTCTTTAACCATTTGTATTCCTTCATGAATGTCTGCTTTCCAGAGGCCACTGCCTGCTTCTGAACTGGACATATAAGGGGACCTCAGGAGTGGGGTACAGCCCACAGTTCCTTATCAAGAGATTAAATACAATATGAGACAACACCTCCAGACAAAACAGACAAATTATAAAGGTGAGGGACATGTATATTTCACTCCTGATCCTACCACTTCTATTTGAAAGTTATTTACACTCCTAACAACTTTTGGGTTTTTCTCTCATTTTCAAAATAGTTATATTTTTTTATAAGGAAGGAGCTTGAATAAATTAGAAAATGATGTGGCGATATTAGTTCCAATTCACCATCTTGGATCATCTTGAAAGAGAGTCTCAGAGAGGGGTTGCCTGGGACAGACTAGCCTGTAGACATGTCTGTGAGAGATGCTCTTAACTGTGTTCGTTAATGTGGGAAGGCCCAGATTGCTGAAGGTGGCACCATTCCCTCGGTGTCGGTGTTGCCCTGTAGACTGGAGTGAGCAGTCTGAGTAAGAAGCACGTTTGCATTCTCTCCTTTTGCTCTTGACTACAGACTGCTATGATTGGTTGTTTAAGTTCCTGCAGCACTGACTTTCTGTTATGGTAACTTGGAACTGTGCACTAAGATAATCCCTCTCTCCCCATAAGTTGCTTTCTGTTGGGATGGTTTTGTCACAACAACAGAAATAAAACCAAGGGACAAAACGTGTCAGAGCCTGGCAAAAGACACATACTCGGTAAACATTTCTCCAAGGCCAGGTAAGTGGTAGATTCTGGCAGTTTGTTCCCCCCGTGCCAAGTGTGTGCTCTAGTTTCTTGTTGCTGTGACTAAACCATAGACAAGAAGCAATGTCATGGAGGAAGGCTTTGTTTCAGCTCACGGCTTGGGGAAGTGTAATTCCATCATGGCAGGAATCTCGTTCTGGAAGGTGGCACCTTGCCAGCTGCATTGTGTGGCTGGACACTTCACATCACATCTGAATGGAATGAGAACCTAGAACTCTAATAAGAGCAAGCCTATAAAATTTATGCCTTGCCTTTTGATGACTCACTTCCTCAGCAAGGTCTCACCTACGGAGGTTCAACAACCATTAAAAGTGCTTTAGTGACTAAGTGTTCAGATACACAAGCCTGTGAAGGATATTTCACATTCAAAGCTCAACAGCTACCAAATCTGTGCCACTTCTCAGAGTCAGCCATGAAATGGGGGGGGTGGGTGGTCATGCATTGACATGGAGCAGCTTTTGATCCACTCACTGACAGCAAAGCTGTGGGTGGTGTGGGAGAATTGTCTGTATTCTGTCAGTCATGTTATAAATAAACACTGATTGGCCAGGCAGGAAATATAGGCGGGAAAACCAGATAGGAAGTAGAAATGATGTGATGAGAACAGGAGAATTCTGGGAAAAAGGAAGTTGATTCCTCCCACTCCTGCCCAGACCGAAGCAGCAGGATGTGATCTGCTCCACTGAAGAAAGGTATTGAGCCACATGGCTAACATAGATTAGAAAAATGGGTTAATCAAGATGTGAGAGTTAGCTAGTGAGAGGCTAGAGCTAATGGGCCAATCAGCTTATAATTTATGGAGACCTATGTGTGATTTTCTTTGGGGCTAAACAGCTGGGGGTTTACAGGCAGGACAGAAACCCCAACAAACAAGCAGCCAGCCACCTCATTGTTACATGTGGGTAACAGGTAAGGAGAGGATGGGGCTACACAGGAGAGGACAGCTGCAGCTTATGTCAACCTCACTAATTACTCCTCCAGGTGGGGCCAGGTCTCCAGGAGGAAAGAGCAACTGGGAGAGATACATTCCAACTTTATTTTAGCAAGCAAGAGTGTCTGCTATGTGAATAATGGTCTTTGATGTTTTGTGTTCATAAAAACCAATGATCCTGATATTTTTGTCATGTTTAGGGTCAATCTTTAGCAATATGCCTTAATGAAGTTATTGCCGGAATTTTAAAATATGTAATATACTTTAGTGTCTTTTATAATGTTCCAACTAGAAGGGAAACTAGAACAGGTTCCTATCCACCTGACTTCTGAGGAAATTGCTGACTTCATGATATAATCATTCTGAATCACGCAACAGGAGGTGCTTAGAAGGGCACTCTTCCCTGGTGAGTCACAGCCATGCCGTCCTCCTCCCGGGAACCCACAGTCATGGCACCCTCCTCCTGGGAACCCACAGCCTATGCTGCCCTCCTTCTGGGAACCCACAGCCTTGCTGCCCTCCTCCAAAGTGCCTTGTCAAGTCTATATACTTAGAGAGACAGGAGTCTGAAGATGTCTTCCAGAGGCCTTGAAGTCCAGCCTAGTCATTGTTCCACAGTCCTTGACAGAAGTCAACCTCTCAAATAGCGCAACACATAGTCTATGGATGTTGCATTATTTTAACTGACTGAAACAGCAGTTGCTTTGAGGGGTTTTTGGGGGGCAGGTGGTTTTCACAATTGCTAATTAAATACTACTACACACCATTTGAAGATGTACCTCTGTTTTATCAGTATAATTTGTCAATAAGAAACAATCACAAATATCAAAACACTGAATAAAAAATTTTCAACTGTATGCTCGGAGCCAGTTCTACCATTGTCCTTTGATTCAGCCACACTTGGTGCTGAACAGATTTTCTGTTCTTCCCACCTTTAACTTTGAAGGGAAGTTGAAGTCATACTTCTGCTGGACTCAAAGCAGCATTGCAGTTAATGGCAGGCATCGTCTGAAGATTGCATGTTTGGGTAAGATGATGATCCTTGTTTGTAGTTATTTAAGATACTGGTCACAGCATCAATTAGTATAACAACAATCACTTAGTGATGTAAATGAGTTAAAAATGTGTTTACATATTTGGGGAACAAAGTAGAATACATTGGGGATAATGAGTGAATGTTTGTAAATTCCCACATGGCTGCTTATTGTCAGAGGCTGAGTATCCAATTTGTCTGTAAATGCCCTCAGAAATAGCAAGGAATTGTGCTGCCACTAAACCAAAGAATTACAGTGTTTGGAATTTTGACACTATAGTAATAAAAAAAGTTCTTATTGAATAGTAACTTTTGGTTACAGTTTTTAAAGCCAAAATAAAGAACTTCTGAGTGTTCACATTGGCTACTAAAGAAGGCAAGCATGTTGTGTATGCGTACACACAGCTTCACATACATGTTAACGAGTGTGTGCACATGCAGAGAGAGAGAACTGGACCGTGTTTCTGGCATTATCCGAGATAACATGCTTTCATTGTTAAGTATAATGTTTTGAAACAGATGAGGCAGAAAATTGAACACAAGAATAAGCTTATTTTGTTTTGAATTTTAGACATGGTCTCATGTAGCCCATGGAATCTTACTGTGCAGGCAAGACTGACCATGAATTCTAAACCTTCCTCTACCTACCAAGTGCTGGTGTGACAGATGTTTGCCACCACACAGGGCTCTAAACTCATTTAGAATAGGCAGTATCCATTATATTAATTAGTTAAATACTAGTTACAACACTCTTTAAATAGATTCTTTTCTTCCTTATTCCAGGGTTGGAAGTCCCCAACAGGGGAAAGAAGATGCCTAAATGGTCAGGAGAGCCACACAAAGAGCAACATAAACCTGTCCCTGCCGTCTGATACCCATTCCCAGACACTACATGACATTCATGCCAGCACAAGGTTTCCCTCCTCCCCACCCACAAGAAAGCTACCAGGAAACAAGCTCCAAGGAGTCGAACAGACTTCTTAAGAGTCTGTAATCTTTAGCTTCAACAGTGCAATTTAATCACCAAAAAGTTGATACTAGGACTCTAGATGATACAAGTTATCATTTAACATACTGTTTACCATTGCCACTTAAAAAAATAAATCAGAAAATAATATGGCTTCAAGAGGAGAAATAAATATGCATTTCCGAGGGGCTTTGCACTATCTGTGGCTTTCCTCCGCTTTTGACTGTAAGGACAATCTCTCCCCAAGTTTCCGAACAAGTTCTGCTAAGTCTTCTGTGTTCTGAGATTTTTCTTCAAGGAGTTCATAACGAAGACTTGAGATGTCCTGCTTGATTTCCTTCAGCTCCCCTGTGAAGAGGGAGAAAGAAAACAAGTCAACCATGACTATGAATCAAACTAGCAATTCCAGGGTAGGATAAAGACAGTCTTGACTGTATTCTGAAATTTTTCAAGGGAAATAACTTCCCAATCAGAGTAAGTTTCTATTTCCTCAGGTAGGAAAAGTAATTGAACAGAATTTTAATGATCTGGAGAATATTGCAGAGTTGGGGTAGCCACTTTCCCAGGAACCAAGGACCCCATAAAAGTAAGAATATTTTATCTAGTCTGCCATCTGTACACAAAGAACCTATTTCCTGGTATTTTGTAGTCTTGATGGCTGTCATGAGGGCTAATATTAAACTTGACAGGACCAAGATTCTCCTTGGGGACTGACTATCATCTGGACTAGTGAGGGAGTAACCTGTTAGAGGTTGGATAAGTGATGTGGGAAGATACCCCGAACCTGTGGGCAGTACTATTCCCTAGGCAAGAGCCCTGGCAGAATAAAAGGGAGAAATTGAACTGAGCATGGCCATTCACCTCTTCCTGCTTCTGACAGCAGACACACAGTATAACATGTGTCCCCCATTCCTGCCACACTGCTTCTTCACCAGCATGGTAGACTGAGTCCTCAAACCATCCTTCTCCAGTAAGGTGGACTGTCCCCTCAAACCGTCCTTCTCCAGTAATGTTGACTGTCCCCTCTTTACTTTGGGAAGCATGTTGTCACAGCAGTGGGAAAAGCTACTAACACAGAAGAGAGCTTGTGCCATGTGGCCTCCTGAGGCTCATCCACCAGGCCATTCTCTCTCATCTCTATGTCAGAACACAGTCCAGCTCATGTGGGAAAACCTAGGCCTAATGCTCAACTCACCTTCATTCACCTCATCGCTCTCCTTATCAATTTGGGCCTGCAATACATATCTTTTAATGAGTCTTTTCATGATTTTCTAGACAAGAAAAGGAGAAATCCATGTCAGCATTATGTTCACTCAAACATCTCATTTGGAATAGATTTATGGTCTACCTATCTTTAGAAGTGAGGGCTATCAAAACTCTTGTAAGAGTTAGCCCACAAGGAATATGCATCTCCATATTCTATTTTCCTTATGAAAGCAACTGTCACATTACTTGGATTAATGACTCAAAAGTTAACTCTCAAAAAGAGGAAGACCATAGAGCAAACATCAAATACTTTATGTCTCTTTTTGTATTGTTAGAAAATAGAGCACAGACTTCATGTCAGATAGGTCAAAGATTTGTACAGAACTCTTGGAGGAAGTAAGGAATTAAACAATGTCCATTTGTTTATGTCTCCACCCTACCAAGAATTGTAGCCACTTTTGATTGTGTGGTGGCTTTAAGAACCACCAGTTTCAGTGTAATAAAGTATCTCTGATTCCTTGGTTTGTATATAACTATAAATATATATTAAATGCAATTTAAGAAATGCAACAATTGTGAAGGAGGTTCTTACATTGCTACAAATCTTATCACATAAAGTCCAGATTAAAAGGTAGTTAATACAGTCCTGTTAAAGAAATTCACATAAGAATGTAGTTTGTTGTGTATATATGTGTGTGTAAGTAGTGTTACTTACAAAAACAGAAAAAGAAACTATAAATGTCCATCAATGGTGAGTTATTTTAATAAATTATCACTTCTTTAAAAGAATACATTATAAGTATATATGTTACATAGTGAAACACACACTATAGAACTATTATACACCTTACTATTAATTCATTCATGTAATATGCATGAATTATATTACAGAATATATTACATGAATATATTACAGAATATTAGCATGTAGGAAATTGTACACATACATATACATATACAACCAGCAGAAAGAATATTCACAAATAAGCCATCTTTATTTCACTGTGAGGTGAATTGTGCTCTTCAGTTTTATTTTTAAAGATTTATTTTTAATTTTAATCATGTATATTTATGTATATCTGTGTGGGGGTATATGTACAAGAGTGTGTGTCAAAAAGAGGAGAGCAAATACCCTGGCCTTGGAGTTACAGGCAGTTGTGCACTGTGGTAGGGATGATGGGAACTGAACTTGGGTCTTCTGTAAGAGCAGTGTATGCTGCTAAGTAGAGCTATTTCTCTAGCCCCTCTTTCTTGTTTTGTAAGGTTAGCCTTTTAAAGGAACCTAGGCTCTAAGCTATATGATTATCCACATATTCCTCACTAAGTTATAGTTACACCATAACAATGTCTTAAGTGGATGCATCCTTCTGATGTTTAAAACAAATCCTGATGTTTTATTTTAATTTAACAAAGTCCAGAGCTTGAGAACCTAAACATAGTGAATAGCTAGCCTTATACTTTGAAGGTTTTGCTTACCTGATATTGTCTTGGAGGACTACTGAAGCTATTTAAATGGAAGTCTTCTGAGCTCCTTATACTTGACTGTTTGTGTGACAGCTACAAAAGGAATTAGAAACCCTCATTTAATTCTCAGTGTAAGTAATGTGTAAGAGATTATTAGTCACATAGTCTGGTGTATTCAAATGAGCATACCTGAATTATAGAGCCATTTATCCTAATTGCTTAGCATTCTGTCTTATAAGTACAAGAAGTAGTTCTGCAAGGGGGTTTAATCACGCTATTGCTATTGGGAATTGTGTGTTGAGCCTCGCAGACTTGGTGGCTCTCGTCACATTGTCCCATGTGGCCTTCCAATAGGTAGATTGTGGTGAAAGGGGGGACATCAGGGTCCAGACATCAGCAGTCTGTCTGAGTGCCACCCTCACACCTGCCCTCGGGTCACATGAGAACCCCAGGGGACCAGACCAGACAGAATACTTCAGGTGCCATGGAAGCTTTAGTTCATCTATTTCAACCTGAGGATCTGGACAGTGCCCTTTCAGGTGTATTCTTCACTAAAGCTCCCTTGTGGCTGGCAGCACTTTCTCAGAGTAAGACAGTGAATTTTGGTGATATGCAATCAGGGTGGAGAGTGACCACATTAGTACGCTAAGATGCCACCTGAGAACTCTATAATGCATTGTTCTAGAAGAAAAGTGATTTTTTACAAATAAACATGAGGACATGAGCCAAGCAGAATACTTCTAAATCTGTATATTGTGGGGATAAACTGTCTTCCAATGGAATAAAACCTCTCCAACTGTCTGCAAAGCCATTCATGGTTTATAGTCTCTGGTGACATCTGGCCCATCAGGGAAGTTCCTTTCTTTGACCTCCATGTAATGATTTTCTCATACCAATATGCTGTACTCGAACAGCAGAGGAATCCTCATCTAATTTGTGAGCTAGCAGGCCGTGATGGCACACGCCTGTACTCCCAAATACTTGGGAGGCTGAGACAGGAGGATCTCTTGAGTCCAGGAGTTCTGGGCTTTAGTGCGCTATGTCAATCGGGTTCCACACTAAGTTCGTCATCAATATGACAAGCTGCTGATATAGGTAGAACAGCCTTTCAAATATCCTGCTTCGTGGAAAAGTCTGTTGGATACTATGGGCCTATACACTAAAGATGAATGCCCCAACGGTGCAAAAGAACTTTGGGCGACTGTCCAGACAGCGAGATGTCTCTGTCATTTCTAGAGTTTTGGAAGTTGCTTACAATGCACTTCCTGTTTACTTAAGTAATACTATATCCTTCTGGAGTCTTTGCTGGAATTAAAAATAGATAGTTATAGTTTTCCTTAATTATGATAAAAGATAAAGTAAATAAAAATATTGTAACTGTAATTCTTGCTTGATACCTGTTTTGTTATATGTAATTTTACTATGTTAAAGTTAAAACCTTCTTTTTTATTTAAACAGAAAAGGAGAGGTGATGTGGGAGTCCTCTCTGTGTGCTGTGATTACCAATAATGAATAAAGAAACTGCCTTGGCCTGTTGATAGGGAAGAACTTAGGTAGACAGGGAGGACTGGGATGAAGGTGGAGTCAAAGAGATGCCATGGATCTGCCACCAAAGATGTGCTGAAACTTTGCTGGTAGGCCACAATCTCATGGTGATACACAGATTAATAGAGATGGGTTAAATTAAGATGTAAAAGTTAGCTAATAAGAAGTTAGAGCTAATGGGCCAAACAGTGTTTTAAATAATACAGTTTCTATGTGGTTATTTTGGTTCTGGGCAGCCAGGATGAACAAGCGGCTTCCTCCAACACAGGATGTTCCTATTAGTTCCTACCCTTTATAACAAACTCAAATATCTCCAAATCAAACGCATCCTTCTGGAATGTCAGTGGAAAAACCATTCCTGACAAGGAACCAACTAATAAACTGATGATTCGTGAGCTGGCAGATATTAATTCATGCCAATACTTTTGTGGCTAGTTCTTCTTTGGGACATAAATATGTTAATTCAGAAAAATAGCATGTTAATTTTCCAATATATCACAGGCAACTGAACAAATCATTTTTTTAATTGAATAAGCCAATGAAATAATGTGCAAGAGAACATGTATGCAAATGCAAAGAGGCATTGTGACCACTTGGTGGCACAAAATCCTAGCGTATCATCTGGTCCCATGGCCCAACCAGCTTCAAGTCTGAAGAGCTGGGACAACAGTATGTCTGCCCTTTAACTCATACAAGGGAATTCAGTTGGCAATCTGAAGAACTTTTGAGATTTAGAGATGTGGCCACAATAAAGGCACAGGGACTGAGTGTAAGCTTTGTTCTTACTATCTGTAAATATTCACTCTCTCCAGTTGAGAACAAAGCATGTCCTGCTCTTAAAAAAAAAAACTTTTATTAAAATATTTAAAAAAATATTTTGTGCATTTTTGGAAGATATGATGATCAAATTCACAGGTTGTGCTTACTAGGTAGGTGCTGTACTATGAACTTGCATTTTCCAAGTTCACTTTGCATTCTTTATACTTTTTCTTTTTCATTTCCTGTTTGATATTAACATTTTATCCTACAGACCATAGGATATGCATGAAGAACATTAAATAAATGTTCATTATTAATTTGGAGAATAAAGTAAGCTCCCATCTTTGAAATGCCCTGCCTTCCTGGACATACAGACAATTCTGGAAATCTGTCTTGTCCTTATAAGGATTAAATTACCAGGACCCAAAGAAATAAGCAGGTGGAGGTGATGTGCTCGAACCTCCCAGAGCACAGATTTGAGATGGACGGCAGTGGGCGCTGTTGGTAAAGCCTCTGCTTTAGAACTCAGAGGCCATGGATAAGGATTTTGGCTGTCACTTGTCTAAGGCTGGAATTTAGACAAAGTACTTCATGTCTCACAGTTCAGAGACCTCAGGTGTAGAATAGAGACAATAATATTGTAAAAGAAAATGTGTATGGATTTTGCAGCCTGGAATTGTAGGTATCTGTTATTCTTGTAGAAAAGCGTAAAGTATCTACTACATGCTTTGGAGCCTAATTATAGATGGTCCTGGTCTAGTTGATATGCACTGGGGAAACTCTACAAACATTGATGCACCCAAGGCCATGACTAAGTCATTTAAAAAAATATATAATGTGGATCCCCCAAAATGTCCTAAAGTCTTTTCTTTTAGACAAGTTCTTACTACAGCCCTAGGTGGCCTAGGACTCACTATGTGGACCAGGTGGGCCTTGAGCAGCAATCCTCCTGCCTCTGCTACCTGAGCATTGGGACTAGAGACATGAGCTACCACACCAAGCTTCCCCAGAGCTCAATGAATACACACATTTCCAGGACTCTTTGTCATATTTTAATGTATAAAGGAAATTACATGGGAATTTTCACAAGATCATATAGAAAGATGTTCCAGCATTTTATCTGCTTGCTTCTTTGGATAATTTATTTTTAAGTAGTTCCTGCCCTAAGAAGTGGCTAAAACTACAATTCCTCAATTCCTGGATGTATAACCAGTAAAAATTATATATATATATATATATATACATACATATATACATATACATATATATATCCACTGAGTCTGGGGCAGAGCAAACTACCCAAAGGCATAAAGCCTTCTGTGATCTGTGATATCAATAGCCTCCCAGTGACCTGTGCTGAAACAGGAGCAGAGTAGGCATTCACGACACCATTCTGCATCAGCAGTGTTTAAGTGTGTAATGGTGAATGACAGAGGCTGGTTTTCAGTTACACTCTTCTGCACTGTGTGTCTGAAAAGCTAACACTAGCCTCTATCAAAGCCAGGAAGTATTTGAAATAAAAGATGAAAAGGCCTGCTCTGTTAGCATTGAAAAGAACTTTTACTTGGCTTGCCCTGTTGATTTTATGAGGTGCCTGAAATAAATAAGAAGACACTGTTTCCATAGTTAATTAAATACTGTGACCTTCCAATAGTCAGAAGAGGCCTGGATAAAGCAAAGATTGCTGTCTTGGAGGCTGACTTTATGAAACAGTCTGAGCCAAGCTATTGGGTGATATAGACTAAAGCATGGAAGTTTGAATCTGTACCTATAGAAGAGAAACATGTTCCCAGAGGAACATCCTTTAGCAGCACTGGGAAAAGGTTATTTTCAGTATAAATGGCTAATTTAAAATTATTTTTCTCAAATAAAATCATTTGAAACCAGAAACTCACATGATAAGGATAATGGATTTTTGTGTTGATTTGAGCATCTGGGATGCAAGTGTCAAAGACAGCATGGAATTTTGAGATCTATCCATAATTACATGTATGAACAAGTCACACACATCATAGAACAGAAAGTGGGAAGTAGCCTTATACACATTGGCATAGGAGACCACTTTCTGAATATAACACCAATAGCACAGACACTGAGATTGACAATAGGACCTCCTGAAACTGAGAAGCTTCTGTAAGGCAAAGATCACAGTCAATTAGACAAAATGACAGCCTACAGAATGAGAAAAAACCTTCACCAACCACACATCTGACAGAGGGCTGAACTCCAAAATATACAAAGAAATCAAGAAAGTAGATATTAAAATACAAAACAATCCAATTTAAAAATGGGGTACAGATCTAAACAGAGAATTCCCAACAGAAGAATCTCAAATGGCTGGAAGGCACTTAAGGAATTGTTCAACATTCTTAGGCATCAGGGAAATGCAAATCAAAACAACTCTTACACCTTTCAGAATGGCTAAGATCAAAAACACTAATGAAAGCTTATGATGGAGAGGATGTGGAGGAAGGGGAACACTCCTCCATTGTTGGTGGGAGTGCAAATTTATACAGCCACTTTGGAAATCAGTATGGCAGTTTCTCAGAAAATTGAGAACCAATCTACTCAGAGGATGCACACTTGTACCATGAGAATATTTGCACAACTATGTTCATAGCAACATTATTCATAATAGCCAGAACCTGGAAACAACCCCTCAACCAAGAATAGATAAAGAAAATGTGGTACGTTTACAGACTGGAGTACTACTCAGCAGCAAAAAAACATCTTGAAATTTGCAGGCAAATGGATGGAACTAGAAAAAAACACCTTGAATGAGCCAGAAA